TGCCCCTTCCATTTCCATTTACCCATTCTTCCCCCACCACTCATAATGATAAATCCCAAATCTAAATCGCTGTTGGGTTGGCCCCCCTTTCTTCCCAATTGCAATTGGCCCCAATCCTTCCTCCCCTCCCACTCATTTTCCCCCATGGCAATCTTTAAATCACAATTGCCCATCCAAACTTCGAATTGACCCCTCTCTAAATTTGCCCATTCTTCCTCCCACTCATTTTCCACCATGCACATTTTCCAAATCACAATGGCCATGCGCATTACGAATTGACCCCTCTCCAAACTTGCCCATTTTTGCCCCTTACTCATTTTCCCCCATGGCATTCTTCAAATCAAACTTGTCTGTTTTCTTGAGTTATTTTGTCTATTTTTGTTTCTGCACTGTATCCTATTCAATATTTTTGGACATCTTTCATTCCTTAAATGCAACTTCTTTTTGTGTATTATTCAAAATTGTGTCTTATCGCTCGCATGGATTGGTATCTATTTTACAATTTACTGATGTTTGAAAAACAAATTTTCTCGTTATTGTATGATTGTAATCTATTTCTGTTTATGTTGCTATTAATTTTTGCTTATAAATTTTGCATTTGTTTTTTCTATTTTTAGTAATTATTTTAAAACTAAAATTATTTTCTTTTGTACATGTACTAGCTACTGTGTAATTTTTAATTTAAAATTATTTTTTTTGGCTTTATTGAATTTTTTGCTTTAATATAGAGTTTTTTTGAAAACATTGACATATAAGCGTTGAAAATCAATTCAATAATAAAATTCTTTATTAATGTTTTTAATGTTTTAATTGACTATATTAATTTTTTTAGCATATTTTTTTCAAGTTTAAAAAAGATTGTTTTTGAATCAGGTTGTATGATAAAAACATAGAAACATTGCGTGGGCAGTATGTCGTGAAGTTTACTACTATTTAAATCTTCTAAAATATGAATCAAGGTCAACTTGAATTCTTCTAATTTTGGAACTTAAACTCCTCGAACACTTTTCTTGTATTTTCTTAATTTCCTCAATTCAAACCACCCTGTCCTTTTCAGACACTGCCCTTACAGTTTCCAACGCCCCTTTTCATTTCCAATTTGCCCATCCTTCTCCATCCTTCAACAATAATGGTAATTTCAAAATCACAATCTGCCTCTGGGTTGGCCCCCTTTCTTCCCAATTGGGCCCCAATCCTTCCTCCCACTCATTTTCCCCCCATGGCAATTTCAAAATCACAATTGCCTATTCGAATTGACCCCTCTCCAATTTGGCCCCAATCCTTCTCCAACTCATTTTCCCCACGGCATTTTCCAAATCACAATTGCCCATCCACATTTCGAGTTGCCCTCTCTCTTCTCAATTGGCCCCAATCCTTCCCCCACTCATTTTCCCCCATGCCAATTTCCAATTCACAATTGACCCCCATCCCTCTTCCACTTCCGATTTGCCCCTTCTTTCCTCCATCAACACTCCCCCATGACAATTTCTAAACCAAAGTTGCACTACCATCCTTTACCCGCAATCGACAATTTCATTCACCCATACATATTCTCTCATCAAATGGCAATTTACAAAATGCAATTCTTTGTTTTTTTTCAGTTCGTTCATTATTTTTTTACACCATTTTACTTAATCACTTTAAATATGTGTATTTCTTTGAGTAAAAAACTTTCATTTCTATACATACTACGACTATGTCCTCTTTTTTTTATAGATTGGTTTTCACTTTCGATGTTATTAATTTTTGAAGAACAAACTTTACGTTTATTGCGTGTTTATATTTTTTTGTCAAGGTCGCTATCAAATTTTGCTGATCGTTTTTATTTTTGTTGTGTATATTTTTAGTAAATATTGTAAAATTAAACTAAAAATTATTTATTTTTGTCAACTTAGTGGATAATGTACAAATATAGGCTTTAAAATTAATTCTTTTTTTGCTTTGTTGAGTTTTATGTTTTCATATAATATTTACTTTGAATATTTAATTGTAATAGTTGAAAATTAAGTCAATGACTAAATTTTTTAATAATGTTCTCAACGTTTCAATTAACTATACTAAATTGTTATTATACTTTCTTCAGAAATTTAATAAGAAGATTATTTTGGAGTGAAAATGTATTATAGAAGCATGGAAACATTATGTGCACAGCATGTAATTGAACTTTCTACTACTACTATCTCATAAAATATAACTAAAGTTCAAATTTCAATCTTTTGCTTTTCGAATTGGAATTTTTCAAACACTCTTCCTGTTTGGATTCTCCCAAGGTTTTCAATTCACACTCAGTCCTCTTTGAACACTGTCCTCAATTTCAAATGCCCCCTTCTAATTTACCCATTCTTCCCCACATCCATAATGGCAATTTTCAAATCAACACAATCGCCTTTGGGTTGGCCCCTCTTCTCCAATTTCCCTCACCCCCTTTCCCCATCGCAATTTCCCCACTCTCTCCCATTTCCAATTGGCCACATTCTTCCCCCCACCCATAATGGCAATTTCAAATCACGATCACCTTGGGGTTGGCCCAAATTGGCCCCTTTCCCCACCCCTTTTCCACCCATCGCAATTTCCCCACTCTCCCATTTCCAATTTACCCATTCTTTCCCACCTCACACCCATAATGGCAATTTTCAAATCAAAATTGCGCGGGCCCATTTACAATCGGCCACTCTTTCCATATTGCCCATCTTTCCCATTAGCAGAAAAAATCAGTAAAAAGTGTGTATATTGGTGCTCAACGTATTATGCAGAATCAGACCCAATGGAAACAACAAAATCTCCATTTTACAGTATAACAATATGATTCAACATTGGGTCAATTCTGGAAACAATGGATTCAAACGAGTTTCGATCAACGACCTAAGTAATATTGAAAGTAATTTACAACTATGAGGAGAGAATTCGGGGATTTTCTCTAGTAATGATTCTTGTCAAGAAAACTATCAACTAGATTGTCCTCTGTGTATTTAGATGAAAGAATATTAGTACTCGTTGGTATTTCGTCTGCCAAGTCTACTTGGGTAAATTCTTCCAATAAATCCATACGATCGTGAAGCAATTGGTATTAAATAGACTATTGAGGATATATAAGCCCTATATGAACCAAAGTCTCGGGTATAACGGTTCTTCTTATGGGACTGAGAGTTTTATAGTGCCACGATAAAATATCTTGATGAGCTAAAAGACTCATAATAGACGAACAACCCAGTGTGGTTCAAACAACCCATTTCATTCTATTAGCACTGTCCAATCCAGTCGGTATTCAACTGGAGAATGAACATGAAACTAATCCTATTTGTATCACTTACCTTGTATAAATCTTTTTCTATGGTTACAACTTGTCTTTGACCCGCAAATCAACTATCTGTCTGAAGTGAATTCTTAGATCACCTTTTTGAATAGAGTTGTTTTGCTACTATTCCTCAAATACTGGAATCAGTCAATTTTACTAATCCGCGTGCGATTATTTGTCAGTTGATAAATAAATATGCTAGTATGACACAAAGAAATCAATCATTCAATCAAACAATCAGTTAGTGAAGCAACACAAGCCAAACTTAATTCTTCATCCATAAAGATAACAAAGAGTCTGCTGTGAAAGACACCTTGTCCTAGTAAAAGCTGTACCAGATTATCAACTCGAATTTGTAATAGCTTAATATAACAAAGATAAGAGACATCTTTTTTTCACCAAAGAAAGTAAACGGACATGACC